TACCCGACAGCAGGTGAAGGCTATGTCCACAGGTGCTTGAAGCACCTGAACACTTACCTGATGGCAGGTGCAGGTTCCGTCCACAAGTGCTCGAAGCACACCTCAGGCTTAAGGGGCTCCACCCAGTCTGTGTAGCTCTCGTTAATGAGCGACACATTGTGGGAGCCTACAGGCGGAGTACGGAAGTAGTTCCCAGGGCTACGGGCCACACTGGGGGAAGGGGACAGGAGGCGGTGCATGGAAGTGAGCCCCAGGGCTGGGGACTGAGAACGGCTACAAAAGAAAGGCATATGACGTCACTTCTCATGTAGAAAAAGACTATGCAACAGGAGCAATAACAAAAATTTGGATTTAAACTCACAAATTCATTAGAAGTGTTGACACATAAAACATATTCTGAAGAAAATAATACATATGAAAATTCAATTGTTAGAAATGTCAAATTTCCAATCATACTTTTCACAACAATTAATGGGAAATCATTTGGGTAAAGATGATGAATCTGAAAATTTCTCTTACTCAAGGTAAATTGTTTGAAAAAAACTATTTAAATTGGCAGCAATAGTGATAAGGTCCACAGCTATATATAAGGAATGGCTTTTCAAATAGATTTGACAGGTGCATTAGACTACCAAAGTTCATGTCAAGTTGTTGTTTTTTTGTCGGAAGCTGGTTTACCTTACAGCAGCCATACTGCCAACAGCTGGGCTGAGGCTCTGAGAGCGACCAGGAATGATAGCGGGGGAGCTGACCCGGCCAGAGAAGCTCCTCATTGGAGAGATACTCGGGGACTGGGCTGACAGACTGCCAATGAAACGTGAGTGGCTGGAGCTGGACTGGTTCATCCCCATGGGGGTTGCCATGGCAGCAGGGTGGTAAAAACTGTTCTCTAACAAACCACACACCGTGTTGCACTCCTGTTGAGGATGAACAAAAACAATTTTTTTCACTGTAAACATATTTATTTTTGTATCAATGGTTTCATATTTACAGTATCTAGTTACCCTCTCTATATATTTTTAGTGCCTCCCTTTCATTCACAGGAATTCTGATGAAATCCGGTTTAATAGCCTTTGTTTATGATAAGGGTGTTCATTATGCAAGTTTATCACTGTACCAGTACAGATTTGTTGTGTATAATAATTTACTTATTAAATACTGAAAGTACTCTGACAAACATATATATACACAATATCTACAATGTGTTCTGATAAAGCTGAATTTTCCTTTCTATCAACATTCCAATACTTGTATGCATTTTTCAAACATCTTACAGTTTTGACTAATGTGACTGTATTTGGAAAAGTGAACCTGAGGAGGCCAGATCTTTGACTGTCTGCCACCTCTTATGACCGGGTAACCCTGATCTTATAAGATGCTCAATAACATTTTATCTAACCTCTTTAAAAATCATTATTTTGAATTGAGCTTTGAACCCTTGCATGCTTTTCTTTATTCATTAATATTATAGCCACAACAAAGTGAGAATATATTGCAAAAATATGAGGAGTTTTTTAGTTGAAGGAATTTATTTTTTTGAAACTGAATGTGAAGAAACATCTCTCCAGATGAAAAAGTTAATGGTTTTAAGACCTTACATCTAGCCTGGCCTTGCGGACCCGCCAGGCTGAGTGGACGCCCACCATCGTGTCGTAGGTAAACACCAGCGAGGGTTCCACACTGGTGAAGATGATATGCTGTGTGTTGTCAGTCAGGTAAGAAATCTTGGGACAGCCACCAGAACCTAGAATAACAAAGTGTAACAGTTACACCTATGAAAAATTGAAATGACCGAGTCACTTTTAGACTTAAAACATGAAATGGGTAAACAAATCCTGTTCAAACATAAGACTTCTTTACTGTATGTCTTTGATCATTTTAAAATAAACTGTTACTGGTATATATTTGAATTAAGTTGATGAGCATTTAGCCTATTCATCACTTAATTTATAGACTTGATCTCGTTTTCCATATTTACCTTGAAACAAATATAGGTAGAGGGATACCTCAATTTATGCTTGATCAATATTAATGCCTACTATTACTACTAATATTAAGATGAAAAATATAATTGTGACATTGTTTTCCAAATTTGACAGCAGATCTTTACAGTTACTTTCAAAGATTATCATCTATAGTTTCCAATTTAACATCCTGGTACACACCACAGACATGATGACAGATGTCTAGGATGTGAAGTGTTTGCCACACAGGACTTACTTGATGTTTTGGTGATGACTGGAGCTACCTCGTCCAACGGGTGTAACATGCTGAACACTGTCGTCTGGCTGGGGGAATTTCTGAAAATAAAGAGAGTGTCGTCTGATAGGGTTAGATGTTATCCCTCCGATGGCACGGTGGTTTCCCCCTGTGGGTTTTCCTCTACCACAAAAACAACATTTGTTCCCTTAGCGATGTTGTTTTATTTAATAAAAGCTCAAAAGAGCTTATGTTTGCTGTTGACAATGTACACAACGTTTAATAAAGATTATTTATCCATTTATTATCATACATTATTCATGTACTTATTTTCTGTTTCTAGATAAGAGAAATAAGACATCCACACGAAGTTTCACTGGCTTTGCCACTCACCTTTTGCCGGTGGCTATTTCTGTGGGTGATACAGTCCTCTCAAACAAAAGTCCATTTTCTATCATCCACGTACTTGCAACCTTCAAGCGACAACAAAACATATTGAACAAGTTTGGGCTACATTCACGTATTCAGGGCTACATTCGCGTATCCCAGTTGAAATGGTACATGTGGCGTAGAAATATTCCACGATAAACGAACGCACTTGGACCGTT